AAGAGTGAGACTTGATAATGCTGGTGAATTTACTTCACAAGCATTTAATGACTATTGTATGTCTGTAGGAATTGTTGTTGAGCATCCAGTTGCTCATGTACACACACAAAATGGTTTAGCTGAATCACTGATTAAACGTCTCCAGCTAATAGCTAGACCATTGATAATGAGGACCAAACTTCCTGTTTCTGTTTGGGGCCATGCAATCTTACATGCTGGATCATTGATACGCATGAGACCAAGTTCATATCATGTATATTCTCCACTACAACTTGCTTTCGGTCAAGAGCCAAATATATCCCATTTGAGAATTTTTGGGTGTGCAGTATATGTCCCTATTGCACCACCTCAACGGACAAAAATGGGTCCTCAAAGAAGGTTGGGAATATATGTTGGTTATGAGTCAGTCTCTATTATAAGATATCTTGAACCATTAACAGGTGATGTTTTCACAGCACGCCTAGCAGATTGTCAATTTGATGAGGCAAATTTCCCATCATTAGGTGGAGAAAAGAAGATTCTGGAAAAGGATGTGTCATGGCATGAGCCTACTTTATCATATCTTGACCCTCGCACAAAGCAATGTGACATGGAAGTTCAAAAGATAATGCATTTCCAAGAAATGGCAAATCAATTACCTGATGCATTTACTGACACAAAAAGGGTGACTAAATCATATATACCAGCTGTCAATGTTCCAGCTCGAATTGACATTCCACATGGACAATCTGATGATAAAGTCACTCAAGAGTCTAAAACACGCCTGAAGCGTGGAAGGCCATTTGGTTCTAAGGATAAGAACCCACGAAAAAGAAGAGGAGCAGAAAATGCACTAGATCACGATGAAAGTGTTCCTGGAGAAACACGAATTATTCAAATTCCCCCAGGAAAGGAGGATGATGCATTAAATTATGGTCAGACAAATAGAATATGTGACCAAAATGAAACTGACAATATAGGTGCAATATTTTCTTATTCAGTTGCATGTGATATTATGAATGATGATCCCGAACCACAATCTGTCATTGAATGTCAAAGAAGAAATGATTGGGCTAAATGGAAGGAAGCTATGCAAGTTGAATTAAATTCTCTTAACAAGAGAAAGGTTTTTGGGAACATTATCCTCACACCTGAAGTTGTGAAACCATTAGGATATAGATGGATCTTCGTACGAAAAAGAAATGAGAAAGACGAAATTGTAAGATACAAGGCCAGGCTTGTTGCTCAAGGTTTCTCTCAAAGACCTGGAATTGATTATGAAGAAACTTATTCACCGGTAATGGATGCAACCACTTTCAGATATTTAATCAGCTTGGCAGTATCTAAAAATTTAGAGATGCGTCTTATGGATGTTGTTACAGCTTACTTGTATGGATCACTTGATAGTGATATCTATATGAAAATCCCTGAAGGATTTAAAATGCCTGAAGCGTTAAGTGCAAAACCCAAAGAAATGTATTCTATAAAATTACAAAGATCTTTGTATGGGTTAAAGCAATCTGGGCGCATGTGGTACAATCGTTTAAGCGATTATTTGACAAGTAAAGGTTATAAAAATAACACTATTTGTCCATGTGTATTTATTAAGAAAACAACATCTGGATATGTGATCATAGCAGTCTATGTTGATGATCTAAACATCATTGGAACGAATAAAGAAATCCTTGAAGTGATTGAACTTTTAAAGAAAGAATTTGAAATGAAAGATCTTGGAAAAACCAAATATTGTCTTGGTTTACAGATTGAGCATATGCCTAACGGAATACTTGTGCATCAATCAAATTACACAGAAAGAGTCTTGAAACGTTTCAATATGGAAAATGCAAATCCTTTAAGCACTCCAATGGTTGTTAGATCATTAAATATTGACAAGGATCCATTTCGTCCATGCGAAGAAAATGAAGAAGTCCTTGGTTCAGAAGTACCATATCTAAATGCAATTGGAGCTCTTATGTATCTTACCAATTGTACTAGACCTGACATTTCTTTCGCTGTAAACTTGCTAGCAAGATTTAGTTCAGCCCCAACAAAAAGACATTGGAATGGAATCAAACATATTTTTCGATACCTTCGAGGAACTAGTGATTTAGGGTTATTTTACCCTAACAATTCAAAACAAGGCTTGATTGGTTATGCAGATGCAGGTTATTTGTCTGATCCTCATAAAGCTAGATCTCAAACTGGATATGTATTCATGAATGGAGGTACTGCAATTTCCTGGCGTTCTCAAAAGCAAACACTTGTTGCCACATCCTCAAATCATGCTGAAGTAATTGCACTAAATGAAGCTAGTAGAGAATGTACATGGTTAAGATCGATGACACAACTAGTTTTAACTTCATGTGGACTTGAAAAGGATATATGTCCAACTTTAATTTATGAAGATAACTCAGCATGTGTCACTCAAATGAAAGAGGGATATATCAAGAGCGACAGGACAAAACATATACCTCCAAAGTTTTTTGAGTACACTCAAGAGCTTATAAAGAACCATCAAGTTGAAATCAAATATGTTCAATCCAGTAACAATGCAGCAGACCTTTTTACGAAGGCACTTCCTACTGCAATCTTCAGGAAACATGTCCATGGCATCGGAATGCGACATGTGCATAGAATATAATGTGACGGATGTCTAAATAAGGGGGAGTCAACTATACACTGCACTCTTTTTCCCTTCGCTAAAGTTTTTTTCCCACTGGGTTTTCTTTAGCAAGGTTTTTAATGAGGCAGTACGTCAAAGTTGAATGCTAAAATGATGTCATCCAAGGGGGAGTGTTGTAAATAATTGGTGGTGTTGTAAATAATTGGTGGATGACATAATAATTGGTGCATGGTAAATTTGTCAACATTTCTAACTAGTTACAATTATATGTTAGTAAAATTTGTAGTATAAATACCCCTCCATTGTAAAGAATGAAACACACCAAAAGTTATAAGAGATATAACTTTCATATTCTCTCTAAATATTCTTTCTTCTCAATTAAAGTTCTTATCAAAGTTTACTAGTTTGGTTTGATTTATAGTTACATTAATTACGCTTAATTCATAACATATATATATATATATATATATATATATATATATATATATATATATATATATTATATATATATATAGTTACATTAATTCGATAATTAATAACAATATAATATATCATATATATATATATATATCTATTGGTTCCTTGAGATAAAATAATTAGCGATTGTGAGATCTGTGTAAACCGTTTGATGTGCTTATGTTTTTTATGAAACTATGCGGTGGCATATTGTAATATATTGGTAAATTATTAAATAACGCCGTTAATTACGATTGTGGGGCCTATTGTTGTAATTTTACAAAGATTGATATGTGTATAGGTACGATACTGTTAACGCCTATTGTTTTCTTTTCTTTCTCGATCAAGTCTCCTTCGAACTCTCAGGAAAACCCTCTTTTTCTTTCTTTATCTTCATTTTGCCCTAGTTTTGTTCCTTACCTGTTTATTGAGAAATAAGTAAATGTATTCCGAGAAAAATTAAACGAATCGCATCTTCGTTAATCGAAATGAAAGGTTAGATGCGAGTTATTTTTCATTTTATTGATAATGCATGTTTTTATTATTAGTTACCTGTCGTTTTATGTTGATAATGGTGTTTTTTTTGGTTTGATTCAGTAAGGTTTTTCGTCATTTTAACTGTTTTGATGATTGTTCTCGTTAGAGTTGATATGTTTTTATCTGTTTGTTTGTTTTGGTTTTTGATGTACGTTTTTGTTTATTTTCACAGATAAGGATTTCAAAAGAAACTATGTTCGAAAAAAATCAAAAATCAAAAAAATATCGAATGCGGTAGAAGTGTGTTATTTCCGAGGTACAGTTCAAAACAAATCATCTATGATTAGAAGTAGAAATACATATATAAACTTAATGTTTGAAGTTATTTTTTGTAATCATAACTGAATTTTTTATTTTTCAGTGTATTGAACATAAATTTAGTTATATGTTTATTTCTATTCTAATCATGATGATTTTATCGTTGTTATAATCATGGTAAATATAATGATAATGTATTTTTTATGTATCAAACATGAAATAAAATTATTTTTGTAATCATAACTGATTTTGGGTTCTTTAAGTGGATTGTATACACCCTTATTTGTATTTTTATTTATTGTTCTAATCATAAATGATTTTATACGTCTGTTTTAATCATTAGTGAATAGTAATGATAAATGTATGTTTATTTTTTACTAACACTATGTTTGTAATGAAAAATTTGTAGTTAAAAAGGGAATGTAGATAGCTCAAGGAAGACACAGTCATCTTCCAAAAGAGAAAAGGCGATGAGGTGTCGCAAAAACACGTTCAAAGACATAAAAAAAAAACAGTTATTGAAAACCAAAAGTGAAGCTGAGGTTAAGGTCAAAACTGTACTAAGTAAGAACGTGAACTATCTGATGAAGATGATTCAGATTTTCAGAGTCGTCTTGGATCTTCAAAGAAACCAAAGAGGAAAACTAATGTTTTGAAGAAAGATAAAAAACCTGTTGTTATAAAGAATTTCCTTCATTGAAGAATAGATGTTCCCCGGGTCATGTTGGGTGTTATTAGGTTTAAGTAGAGAACAAAAGGATTGTTTAGGGCTATGGGATTTGGGAGTTTGTTAGGGATGAAGATGATTGACGTACCGTTGAAGATTGTTTATTATGTCTTGATCATTTTAATTTTGAATCTTTGAAGGTGGAGTTTGATAATTGTGAAGTTAGTGTTGATAGTAAGTCTATTCAAGAGATGTTAGGATTACCATCTTGTGGCTCATTACTTTCAAACAGGATTACATTTCGGAGAATAATGAAGAGAGTTGTATGTTTGAGTGGAAGAACAGATGAAATATTGATAAATTGAGATTGAAACAGCTAAAGAATGAACTTGTTCAAACTAGTGCTGCGGATGACAACTTCAGAATCAATTTTTTTGGTTTTTTTTATTAAACTTTCTGTGAGTCTACAAGCATGGGTAAATGTATCTGAATCCATTGTATTTAATCAGAAGAGATACTAATTTAAGTAGCATTGACTGGTGCGATTACATTGTGGATTGTTTGGTAAGGACGAAGAAGGTTTACAATCCAGAGAAAAAATCTTTTTTCTTTTATGGACCAGCAGCATACCTTATGGTACGTGAGTTATTTTTTTGATATTATTATTCTTGTTAGTTGTAAAAATATGTTTTTTTTTTATAATAAATCATATATGATTTTATTACATATAATCAATATGATTATGTAGTATAATTTTGTTTATTATATATTACACATCAACATATATATGATGTTATATATGTTATGATGTTATATATGTTTTTTGTAGTTGTTGTATGTGGATACTTTCAAGTTTGATCATTTGCAAGTCACACGTAAACGTCCAACTATTTTTTATTGGACGTAAGAGAAGATAAGGTTTTTTCTTGGATATTTACAAGAGAGTGGAGGATTTGGATGTGGACATGTTAATGAAGCATATGTTGAAGAAGAATTTCAAGAATCTGAGTATAATGAGGAGGAATCTGGTGGTGATGAGGTTGAATCTGATGGTGAAGAGGATTTATGTGATGAGGATGAAGAAGATTTTGATGTTAATAAAGTTAGTGACGTGGAGGTAATTTTATAGTTTTATTCATTTATGATTTAATTAGTTTATTCATTTAAGACTTTTTATGTTTAGTTGTAAGTATCTTTTTTCTTATGTAGGTGTATGAAAGTAAAATTTCATGTATGTATCAGAAGATGGAGGATTTGAAAAATGATCTTGTTGTAAAGATAGATGAGGGAGTGTTGAAGTTTCCTCAAAGTCAAAATTTGAAAAATTGGAAATTATTATTTCCTGTGAAGATTTAAGCACCAAAAGTTTGATTTCCATTAGTTTCACAAAAATATAAAGAACCGATATTAAACACCTGGTTTTGTTCAAGTTAATGATGAAGATTATGGGAATGATTTTCTTAATGATGATGAAAATGTTGAAGATTATGATCAAGGGAAATGTTCTGGTGGTCAGGGGTGGAAGTGGTCCACATGAGGGCAATATTGGTAAAAATCATGTTGAAGGTAAAGGTGATGATGATGAAGATGATGAACAAGGAAATGGAAGTGGATGTAATAAAGAAGAGGCCATGAATTTAAATTCTGTTGTCGAAAATGTTACTAAGAGTGTGGGTCTAAGTGTGGGTCTAATTGATAGCCAGGAAGGAGTATCTTTTAGTCAATTTATTTGCGATCCAGTTGTTGAAAGTTTTCTTAAAACTTTGGATCAAGGTAGGCATATTTTATTATTATATATAGTTTAATCATGTATGATTTTAATTTTTATATTTGAATTTTATAGGTACTGTGGTTGTTTAAATCAGAATAGTTGAAGATGATGTGAATTTGAATTTGACTGGTATTGATGATGGTAAGTATTTATTTATGTATTTTTAATACATATAATACTACTATATATATATATATATATATATATATATATATATATGTTATATAGATGATTCATTTATGATTTTAATAATTTAGGGACTGTAAATTTGGGTGAGGATGATCATAAGAATAAAGTAATTTCAGATCATACTGTTGATAAAGTATTGTAGCAAAGAAGGATGGAGAAGGTGAAGATGTTGAAGATTGTTCAAATAAAAATAAAAATGGATCTGGTAATTGTTATATTATTGTTTATTCATATATTAATTGTGTTCTAATTATTGTATTCATATATGATTTTTAATTTTATTGGGTAGAAAATGTTGAAGATTGTTCAAATAAAAACAAGGATTCAAATGAGACTCGATCATTGAAAAATGTTATTGTTCCAAGTTTTAGTCTTGGATTTAGTCAAGATTTTGAAGGTTCCAAGAAGTCATCTCAAAGTCAAATTTATTTTGAACGGATGACAAAGAAAAAGATTAAGGATAGAGTTATTTTGGGAAAACCAAGTGCTGGTCCAGAGTGTGTTATTCCAAATGTTGATGTTATTGATGCTAGTCCAGTTTCTTTTGCACCCCTTTGGGTACACTAGAAGGACCATCAAAACCTGTTTCTGGCAAACCTAAAGATATAAATGAAGAAACAACATCAGTAGTGGATGTCAAAGGAAAGAGACAAATGAAGTTTTCTTATGTTTATAAGTCACCATTTAAGGAAATGTTAATTGATTTTAAACTTAGTTTGTCACAAGTAGAAAATTTTGTTTGTGAATGGCTTTTCAATCTTCAAGGAAATCCAGGGTAATTTTTTTAATATAATTTTTTATTTTTATAATTATAATTTTTTATTTTAAATAACATTTAATTAAATATATACAGGGATATTGTATTGCTTATGGAAACATATGTTATTGGTTTTAGAGCTAATTATGAAAGTCTTTATAAAAAAAACCCATTTGCATGTTAGTGTTCTTGATTCATGGTCTCGTATACTAAATCATCAAGAGAAATTCAGAGATGTTGTTAATTCTCCACTCAGATTGTTCATGAATTCTGAGACTGTAAGTTTTTATTTTATTCTTTGCTTTTCATATGTTGATAATCATTAATAGTTTTTTATTAAATATTTACATGTTATTATATAATCATTTATGATTTTCTTATATTACAGACTTTGTCATTTGAATATACTCATTTGAATGAAACTGCAAAATATAAAGTTTTCAAGGACAGCTTCTCTCGCAGTGTTTCTGGTGATAGAGACTTGAAGGTTTTGAAGGATGTTGATATGGTATATTTATTTTTTATACCTATATATATATATATATATATATATATTATATATATCTATTTATTAATATTTTATTTCTAATATTATACATGTTGATGTTAGGTATTTTTCCCGGTTTTGAGGCATAAGCACATATATCTTATTGTTATGAATATGAAGAAACGTGTTTTTGAGGTTATCGATAATGGTGCAGATGATGTTGATTTCGATGATAAGTATGGTGCAATTTTAAACCTCTTGTAAGTTTCAAATGATATTTATTCTTTAGATTTGAAATCATATATGATATGTTTTATAATTATTATACTTATATTTTTCTGACTTGAAATCATATATGATTTTCAGAAAAAGTCTTTTTTGAAGTATCTAAAAGAGATCGATCATGTTAAAGCAAATGAAATGGCTGATAAAAAATCTTACTCCAGTAAGATTGACAATGCCATGGAGGACAGTTTATAACAAAGTGGATTGTGGAGTTTTTGCTATGAGACATATGGAGAGTTATTTTGGAGAAAAAGGTTCTAAATGGAAATGTGGTCTTCCAAAGAAGGTGGTTCTCAAGAAAAAATTCTGGAAAAGTTGAGAATGAAATATGCAGCAACAATTTTAACTTCTGAGATTAATACAAAGCGTGATGATGTGTTGAAAGCTGCATATGAGTATCAAAAAGTTGATCAAAAGATTGTGGTAAGCATGCATATGATGCTCAATGGAATATAGAAAGAAGGTTGTCAAATTTTTTTGATTGAATATTTCTTATTGATGATGTTATAAGAACAAGTTTGTTTATGTTGTGTATGTTATGGATATTGTGAAGAATGTTTGTTTTTATGATGATGAAAAACATGGTGATGGAAAACAAGTTAATATGTATTTTGGTGGATTTTATTATGTAAGTTTGTTTGTGTGAATTATGTTATTGAATGTTAATCATAAGCATTATGTATATTTTTTATATGTAATTTATGTTTTTAGTATTGATTATATGTTGTTTATATGTAATCATTAGTGATTGTATCGATTTTTTTTTCTGTTTTTGTAATCATAGATGATTATATTTGTTGTACAACACATTATAATTTATTATATCTTTTTCTTGATAAGTGAGCTTATCTTTACTGCATGGAATACATCACCATGCAGAATCTTATCTTTGTAAGATTTTAGTTTTGTTTTTTAGTGTTTGTATGAAGAATCTTTTCTTTATAAATGAAAACTGATTGGTTACAGCCATATATTGTATTTTTGATAAGTGATTATGTTTGTATAAAGGGGGTAGCCTCGTGCTACCCCTTATATTTCTTCAAAGATGAGTCCTTATACTTCCAAATTGTTAGTTTTGTTTATTAATTTCTTCAATTTTTATATATCACCATTATATTTATGATGTAAACAACTTCCATTTTGTTTCAGGTAAAATATGAGTCTATAAGTCTAAAGAACTAATTTGCTGTATCTAATAACATGTTCCCCATTTTTTCAAGATTCTTGTTCTTTTATTTGTAGCTAGATTTTCATACAGATTGTAGCTGACTCCAAGAACGCCTCTTCCACCATTACTTAAAAAGTTTATCTTCATTGAAATATCAGATCTTTACTAGATGTCTTTGAAGTAGAGGAATGTTGTTCATTTAAAGAATATTTTTTTAATGAAACACATTTCTCTACATCAGATATAGTAAAGATTTGTTATGTTCAATGGAGATAATCTTTCTAAGTAATGGTGGAAGAGTTCTTGGAGTCAGCTACAATCTGTATGAAAATCTAGCTAGGAATATGAAGAACAAGAATCTTGGAAAATGGGGAACGTGATATTTGAGACTTGTGAAATTGTTTGTTATTGAAGACTTGTGAAATAGGAATATGAATATTGTTATTTTTAGATTTTTTATGAGCAGTGTTGTATATTTGTTAGGAACAATGGTGTTGTATATGGTTATATGTAATGGTTAGATGTTTTTTATGTGTAACCATATTTTTAATCACTTATGATTAAACAAAACATATGAAGTAGTATACATAAATTTTATGATTTACAGATGATATTGTATATGGTTATGTGTAATGATTACATGTATTGAATAACAGTTTATATGTAATCTTAAATGCTTGTAGTAACATTTAATAGAAGTTTAATCATGAATGAATATATTATCAAATCAAAGAAAGAATTATCAAAGTAGATTAAATCCAGTAGACAAAATCATAGTTAATT